GTGTACCCAGTGTGACCGCACCTTTGGTGGCTGCTGCCTGCCTCACTCTGCTGCCACGCGGCTCTCAGTGTTTCTAACGTAGATCCTTCCACAGCTTTAGTTTGAAACTCCTCACTCAGTGGTCATGAGCTCATTATGAACTTCTAAAACTGTGTTATTAGATTGGCTGCTTGAAGCACAGCTCCAAGAATGTGTAGCTCACGTTAACTCTGTCTAGCGTATAGCCTAGAAAACCTTCTGAGCCCCAGATCTCCTTCTTGCTGACTGCGGAAGCCATGAGGTCAGTTGGCTGTGGACAGGAGCTTTTGGGACCCATATCCTGGTGTTAACATAAAACATAGGTTGAATCTACATGATAGAAAAGATCAACTTGAAAAACTTTAAGATAATAATTTTGGCCTTGCCAATTTTATCAAATTCATAGAAAATGATATTAAGGGCCGATGCCGTGGCTCACTAGGCTAATCCTCCACCTTGCGGCGCCGGCACACCGGGTTCTAGTCCCGGTCGGGGCGCCAGATTCTGTCTCGGTTGCCCCTCTTCCAGCCCAGCTCTCTGCTGTGGCCCAGGAAGGCAGTGGAGGATGGCCCAAGTGCTTGGGCCCTGCACCCCATGGGAGACCAGGAGAAGCACCTGGCTCCTGCCTTCGGATCAGCCAGCCGTGGCGGCCATTGGAGAGTGAACCAACGGTAAAGGAAGACCTTTCTCTCTGTTTCTCTCACTGTCCACTCTGCCTGTCAGAAAAAAAATGATATTAAGATGACTGAAATAATCTGGAAGGGACGAGAGAAGAAAGACCTGCTGCTGGGCTGCCTCTCAGCTTGGCTCCGTCGTAGAAATAGCTGAATTTCCTTTGCCTCTCCAAGATCTTGAGGTCATGTAGTTCTCTTCCAACCCAGCCAGGCTCACAACTGTTCAGAATCACAAAGCCTTCTCCCCAGGCATTGCAGGTTCCCAAGTGCTTGCTTGCTTGTGGCTACTGCTTCCTGCTGACTTGTGTATTAGTCCTAATCTTCAGTATTTTAGTGCAAGGCAGAACTCAGCCCCTTCAGAGCTTCACAGGAGATCCACCCACAAACATCTTGTGAGGTCAGTAGGTCTGCCTATGGTCGGGGAGCCCTCAGGGCTTCCTGTTCCCTTCTCTCTCCTCGCCTCCCCCACACCTGCCTGCTTGTCGCATGTGGTAGTCCCAGCTGTTGCATGTCCTCCTCCTCCTAGGGTGCAGAGCAGTTCTGCATGCTTCACCTTTTACTCTCAGGACAGTCAAGCCTGCTGAGATGGTCATGGGAAAGCCACAGGGTGGCTGGAGCCCCATGGAGGTCCCACTCCGCCTGCACCATCTGCTGTGCCTGCCGCCTTGGGCCTCTCTGGTCTGTGAAATGCGGGTGGGCTGGTATTCTCTTGCAGGGCTTTTGTGATCATTCATAGAAAGGATTGAGATGATACCTAAGTGTGCTTTTTATGTGTTCTAATTCTTCCTCCTGCTTCCACTTACTGCTGGTTTTACCACCATTATACATAAAACCTTATTGTCACTTTTACTGTAATTTTTTTTTTTTTTTTTTAATTTTTTATTTATTTTTTATTTTTTTTTAACTTTTATATAATGAATATAAATTTCCAAAGTACGATTTATGGATTACAATGGCTTCCCCCCCATACCGTCCCTCCCACCCACAACCCTCCCCTTTCCCACTCCCTCTCCCCTTCCATTCACATCAAGATTCATTTTCGATTATCTTAATATACAGAAGATCAGCTTAGTATACATTAAGTAAGGCTTTCAACAGTTTGCTCCCACACAGAAACATAAAGTGAAAAATAATAGATGATTTTTTTTAATGATGATGAAATCAGATCAGACCTATTGTCATGTTTAATCCCAGTGAGAGTCAAGTTGGGAGTTGATAGTTTCTTTTCTTTTCTTTTCTTTTTTTTTTTTTTTTTTTTTTTTTTTTTTTTTTTACAGAGGATCAGTTTAGTATGCATTAAGTAAAGATTTCAACAGTTTGCACCCCCATAGAAACACAAAGTGAAATATATTATTTGAGTACTCATTATAGCATTAAATCTCAATGCACAGCACATTAAGGACAGAGATCCTACATGAGGAGTAAGTGCACAGTGACTCCTGTTGTTGACTTTACCAATTGACACTCCTGTCTATGGCATCAGTAATCTCCCTATGCTCCAGTCATGAGTTTCCAAGGCTATGGAAGCCCCTTGAGTTCTCCGACTCTTATCTTGTTTAGACAAGGTCATAGTCAAAGTGGAGGTTCTCTCCTCCCTTCAGAGAAAGGTACCTCCTTCTTTGAAGACCTGTTCTTTCCACTGAGATCTCACTCACAGAGATCTTTTGCCAGAGTGTCTTGGCTTTCCATGCCTGAAATACTCTCATGGGCTTTTCAGCCAGATCCGCGTGCCTTTAGGGCTGATTCTGAGGCCAGAGTGCTATTTAGGGCAACTGACTGAACACCAAAAAGGAAACTTGTTGAAGTGAAAGGGACACTATGGGAAACGGTGACTTGATCAGCATAGCCCTGACTGTTAATGAACAACTTAATACATTATCCCTCTTAGTAGTTTTTTTGTCTGTTCTACTTAATATGACTGATTTAATTCTGTAATTAATACACAGTTATTCTTAAGTGTTGAAATTTAACTGAATTGTGATCCCTGTTAAACATAAGAGTAGGAATAAGAGAGGGAAGAGATATATAATTTGGGACATGCTCAAGCTGACTTGCCCCAAATGGTAGAGTTAGAAACATACCAGGGGATTCCAATTTAATCCCATCAAGGTGGCATGTACCAATGCCATCTCACTAGTCCAAGTGATCAATTTCAGTTCGCAATTGATCATAATGAAAGGACTAAGAGTCAAAGGGAGCACATAAGCAAGTCTAGTACCTGCTAACACTAACCGATAGAATAAATAAAGGGGAGAGTGATCCAACATGGGAAGTGAGATACTCAGCAGACTCATAGAATGGCAGATGCCCTAAATAGCACTTTTACTGTAATTTTTAAAAAGGAGCTCAGATAAGAAACAGACTATAATAATAGCTTACTTTCATACATAGCGCTTTCCTATGGTGATAGTTAATATTCCTAAAATACTGTGCTAGTGATTTCGCAATTCTTTTAAGAGTATAACTAAAGAATGGTAAATGTGTGAGTTAATATCAAAGGTCATAGCAACTAAATTCAGTTTTTTTCTTCTTAGGTTTTTTAAACCATAATTTTGATTTATTTGTGATTTCTTTAGTTCTCATTTCTCCAGTTAATCCAGAATTGGAGTAGTTGTACGTAAAAATCAACTCACTTGTAGATAGTTTCTGTTTGCAAGCCCTTTTAAATTCAACACGGACATTCCTACTGTTGACAAAAATAATAGGGAATGTGAGATTAAGTGGTTTTTTTAAGATTAATTTATTTATTTGAAAGTCACAGTTACACAGAAAGAGAAGGACAGGCAGAGAGAGAGAGAGAGAAAGTCTTCTGTCTTCTGGTTCACTCCCCAATTGGCTGCAACAGCCAGAGGTGCCAATCCAAAACTGGGAGCCAGGAGCTTCTTCCAGGTCTCTCATGGACTTGAGCCCGTGCAGGGGCCCAAGGACTTGAGCCATCTTCTACTGCTTTCCCAGGCCATAGCAGAGAGCTAGATTGCAAGAGGAGCAGCCAGGACTTGAACCGGTGTGCATATGGGGTGCCTGCACTGCAGGCAGTGGCTTTACCCACTACACTACATAGCGGGCCCCAAGATATTTTCTGTAACTTATTACTTTAACATTACTCAGAGTAGTAAATCTCCATTTTTCCACATACTTTGTTAGTATACTTATTTTAAGAACCAAAGAATATTTGTTGTCGTATAAGAGGCTTCTTATTCATCTAGTTTGTTTTATTTTTAATGTCTTTAGCAACAGAAGACAACATTTTCAAAAACTTGGATACTTTCTAATTTTCTGATTTAGATATTGACAGTCACTGTATTGAAACGACCTTTGGCAGCTGACTTAGGCACAGGACCCCAGGCAGATAAATGATGAGCTCTTGACAGCAGCCATTGGCAAATTGTGTGTCTGATTTGCCCTTGGTAACCTCTGAGGCCGTTTTATCACGGGGACGTTCTGAGTAGCAAGACAACTGGCAGAAACACGTGCCATCAGAGTTAATCGAAATCAAGTCGTCCGGACAGGGAAGGCTGTGATGGACTTGCAGGAAGTCGGCGGTCAGGGGATGGGGTCTGCAGTAAAGCCCTGCCTTATCTACAGACTTAGCAATGTAAAGCTGGGCAGTGACCTGTAGTTTCTCTTTTTATCTCTTGTGTGGAATTCCTAGCATGTTTCCTTTTAGAAACCATGGAGCCACTTTCCCTGACAGTCTTGTGTGACCCTTAGGGAAACGGGACAGAATCAGCAGCATCGCTTAGCTAAGAACATAGTAACAGTTCCATCATGATGCGCTTTTGCCTTTTGTCACCTTCATTTTCTTTCGCTTTGAGTTCTTGCAAATTCTGCTCGATGAGAAAGAAATGTGGTAGCCACGGAGGCACAGCCCCTCATCCTTCTCTCCTGGCTGTAAAATCGTAAGGAGCTACAGTGATTTAGGGAATTCTGTGGGATTGCAGAGCTCTGGAGGGGCCTGTCTTTACCCGTATTGAGAATCACCTGATTGGTTGCCACATTAACCCTTACATGTGTCCCGTCATGGCTGTGATACCTGGATATGTGCCTTCGCTGTGTTGAGGTTGGAATCTGTGTGTGGTGTCTGATTGTCATGTGAATGCTTTTCCCACTCTTGAGTCCTATCTGTATCTCAGTACTGAAATTTTACGGTCATTACATTTTGTGATAGTCTTGGTGATCGATGTAACAAAGTCATTGTGAACTCTGGTTTTACATCTTTAGTCCTTTTTTTTTTTTGAGATTTTTTTATTTGGAAGACAGTTACAGAGACGCAGAGAGAGAGAGAGAGAGAGAGAGAGAGAGAGAGAGTCTTCCATCTGCTGGTTCACTCCCCAGATGGCCGCAAATGCTGGTGCTGTGCTGATCCAAAGCCAGGAGCCAGGAGCTGCTTCCGGGTCTCCCATGTGGGTGCAGGGGCCCAAGGACTTGGGCCATCTTCTACTGCTTTCCCAGGCCATAGCAGAGAGCTGGATCAGAAGCAGAGCAGCCAGGATGTGAACCTGAGCCCATGAGGGATGCTGGTACTGCAGGCCAGGGCCTTAACCTGCTATGCCACAATGCTGTACCCTTTAGTGCTTTTTAAAAATACTGATTCTTTTATTCCACTGAACAGAGATTCTGACTGAGTCTGTCTGGGCTGGAGCTTAGGAGTCTGCATTTTTAACAAAGAATCCAAGGGATTTTGTATAGGTGTGCTGTGGCTATGGGTGTAGGTTCAAATGTTGGTGTAAGTATAGGTGTGTTTGTAGGTATAGGTATAGCTGTAGGTGTGTGTGCATGTACATCAGTAGGTATAGGAACAGCACTAGGTGTAGGTAGAGGTGTGGCTGTAGGTATTTGTGCAGGTGTAGGGATAGCTGTTGGTGTGAGTGCAGGTGTATCTGTAGGTGTATATATAACTGTAGATGTAGGTGTAGGTATAGCTGTAGGTGTGTGTGCATGTACATCAGTAGGTGTAGGCACAGCACTAGGTGTAGGTAGAGGTGTGGCTGTAGGTGTTTGTGCAGGTATAGGGATAGCTGTTGGTGTGAGTGCAGGTGTATCTGTAGGTGTATATATAACTGTAGATGTAGGTATAGGTATAGCTGTAGGTGTGTGTGCATGTGCATCAGTAGGTGTAGGCACAGCACTAGGTGTAGGTAGAGGTGTGGCTGTAGGTGTTTGTGCAGGTATAGGGATATCTGTTGGTGTGAGTGCAGGTACATCTGTAGGTGTATATATAACTGTAGATGTAGGTGTAGGTATAGCTGTAGGTGTGTGTGCATGTACATCAGTAGGTATAGGAACAGCACTAGGTGTAGGTAGAGGTGTGGCTGTAGGTGTTTGTGCAGGTGTAGGGATAGCTATTGGTGCAAGTGTAGGCATATATATAACTGTAGATGTAGGTACAGGTATAGCTGTAGGTGTGTGTGCATGTGCATCAGTAGGTGTAGGCATAGCACTAGGTGTAGGTAGAGGTGTGGCTGTAGGTGTTTGTGCAGGTATAGGGATAGCTGTTGGTGTGAGTGCAGGTGTATCTGTAGGTGTATATATAACTGTAGATGTAGGTGTAGGTATAGCTGTAGGTGTGTGTGCATGTACATCAGTAGGTGTAGGCACAGCACTAGGTGTAGGTAGAGGTGTGGCTGTAGGTGTTTGTGCAGGTGTAGGGATAGCTGTTGGTGTGAGTGCAGGTACATCTGTAGGTGTATATATAACTGTAGATGTAGGTGTAGGTATAGCTGTAGGTGTGTGTGCATGTACATCAGTAGGTGTAGGCACAGCACTAGGTGTAGGTAGAGGTGTGGCTGTAGGTGTTTGTGCAGGTGTAGGGATAGCTGTTGGTGTGAGTGCAGGTACATCTGTAGGTGTATATATAACTGTAGATGTAGGTGTAGGTATAGCTGTAGGTGTGTGTGCATGTACATCAGTAGGTGTAGGCACAGCACTAGGTATAGGTAGAGGTGTGGCTGTAGGTATTTGTGCAGGTGTAGGGATAGCTGTTGGTGCAAGTGTAGGTGTATCTGTAGGTGTATATATAACTGTAGATGTAGGTGTAGGTATAGCTGTAGGTGTGTGTGCATGTACATCAGTAGGTGTAGGCACAGCACTAGGTGTAGGTAGAGGTGTGGCTGTAGGTGTTTGTGCAGGTATAGGGATAGCTGTTGGTGTGAGTGCAGGTGTATCTGTAGGCATATATATAACTGTAGATGTAGGTGTAGGTATAGCTGTAGGTGTGTGTGCATGTACATCAGTAGGTATAGGAACAGCACTAGGTGTAGGTAGAGGTGTGGCTGTAGGTGTTTGTGTCATTAAAAGGATAGCTGTTGGTGTGAGTGCAGGTGTATCTGTAGGCGTATATATAACTGTAGATGTAGGTGTAGGTATAGCTGTAGGTGTGTGTGCATGTACATCAGTAGGTATAGGAACAGCACTAGGTGTAGGTAGAGGTGTGGCTGTAGGTGTTTGTGTCATTAAAAGGATAGCTGTTGGTGTGAGTGCAGGTTTATCTGTAGGCGTATATATAACTGTAGATGTAGGTGTAGGTATAGCTATAGGTGTGTGTGCATGTACATCAGTAGGTATAGGAACAGCACTAGGTGTAGGTAGAGGTGTGGCTGTAGGTGTTTGTGCAGGTGTAGGGATAGCTGTTGGTGCAAGTGTAGGTGTATCTGTAGGTGTATATATAACTGTAGATGTAGGTGTAGGTATAGCTGTAGGTGTGTGTGCATGTACATCAGTAGGTGTAGGCACAGCACTAGGTGTAGGTAGAGGTGTGGCTGTAGGTGTTTGTGCAGGTGTAGGGATAGCTGTTGGTGTGAGTGCAGGTACATCTGTAGGTGTATATATAACTGTAGATGTAGGTGTAGGTATAGCTGTAGGTGTGTGTGCATGTACATCAGTAGGTGTAGGCACAGCACTAGGTATAGGTAGAGGTGTGGCTGTAGGTATTTGTGCAGGTGTAGGGATAGCTGTTGGTGTGAGTGCAGATACATCTATAGGTGTATATATAACTGTAGATGTAGGTGTAGGTATAGCTGTAGGTGTGTGTGCATGTACATCAGTAGGTGTAGGCACAGCACTAGGTGTAGGTAGAGGTGTGGCTGTAGGTGTTTGTGCAGGTATAGGGATAGCTGTTGGTGTGAGTGCAGGTGTATCTGTAGGCATATATATAACTGTAGATGTAGGTGTAGGTATAGCTGTAGGTGTGTGTGCATGTACATCAGTAGGTATAGGAACAGCACTAGGTGTAGGTAGAGGTGTGGCTGTAGGTGTTTGTGTCATTAAAAGGATAGCTGTTGGTGTGAGTGCAGGTGTATCTGTAGGCGTATATATAACTGTAGATGTAGGTGTAGGTATAGCTGTAGGTGTGTGTGCATGTACATCAGTAGGTATAGGAACAGCACTAGGTGTAGGTAGAGGTGTGGCTGTAGGTGTTTGTGTCATTAAAAGGATAGCTGTTGGTGTGAGTGCAGGTTTATCTGTAGGCGTATATATAACTGTAGATGTAGGTGTAGGTATAGCTATAGGTGTGTGTGCATGTACATCAGTAGGTATAGGAACAGCACTAGGTGTAGGTAGAGGTGTGGCTGTAGGTGTTTGTGCAGGTGTAGGGATAGCTGTTGGTGCAAGTGTAGGTGTATCTGTAGGTGTATATATAACTGTAGATGTAGGTGTAGGTATAGCTGTAGGTGTGTGTGCATGTACATCAGTAGGTGTAGGCACAGCACTAGGTGTAGGTAGAGGTGTGGCTGTAGGTGTTTGTGCAGGTGTAGGGATAGCTGTTGGTGTGAGTGCAGGTACATCTGTAGGTGTATATATAACTGTAGATGTAGGTGTAGGTATAGCTGTAGGTGTGTGTGCATGTACATCAGTAGGTGTAGGCACAGCACTAGGTAGAGGTAGATGTGTGGCTGTAGGTATTTGTGCAGGTGTAGGGATAGCTGTTGGTGCAAGTGCGGGTGTATATATAATTGTAGCTGTAGGTGTAGATATGGGTATCTATAGGCATAGCTGTAAGTGTAGAGGTGCATGTAGGTGCAGGTATATCTGTATGTGTAAGCGTGGGTGCACCCATATGTATAGCTGTAGGTATATATGTTCAGTATCTCCTTTGGGAGATACTGAAGTAGAACCTCAGTCTACTTTACCTTAGGGGACAATGTAGCACTGTGGTGAAGATCCCAGGGCCTGAGTTTTGGATTAAACCCAATTCTGTAGTTAGCAGGGCTTGTGAACTGAGTCAAGCAAAATGATAATGTGGTAACTCCATGTCTTTATCTGTGTAGTGGCAATAATGATATCTCCTTAGAAAATTATAATGAGGGTTAAATCAATATATATAAAGAGTTCTGTGCATGCAGATTTTTCCAGTAAACATTGGTATTATCATGTCATTCAGTGGCCCTAATCCAAATGCCTTACTTTTTATGTATACGAATCATTTCGATGCTTAGTTGATCATTCAGTATTGAGTCCCGGAAAACAACAGACAGGTTGTTTTGTGTATGTATTTTTTTTTTTTTTTGACAGGCAGAGTGGACAGTGAGAGAGAGACAGAGAGAAAGGTCTTCCTTTGCCGTTAGTTCACCCTCCAATGGCTGCCGCGGCCGGTGTACCGCGCTGATCCGATGGCAGGAGCCAGGTACTTCTCCTGGTCTCCCATGGGGTGCAGGGCCCAAGCACCTGGGCCATCCTCCACTGCACTCCCGGGCCACAGCAGAGAGCTGGCCTGGAAGAGGGGCAACCGGGACAGAATCCGGCGCCCCGACCGGGACTAGAACCCAGTGTGCCGGCACCGCAAGGCGGAGGATTAGCCTAGTGAGCCACGGCGCCGGCCTTTGTGTATGTATTTTTAGTGTTGCACTGACTGCATCGTATCAGCCATTTCTGTGTCTCCATCTGTTTCCCTCGTGGCCGTGGGCTCTTGGAGGGTGCAGACCATGTTTCACTCAACATTCTTCATCTGAGCACTGCGCGCATGTGCTAGAGCCATCCTGAGCTGAGTGTGCAGGTTGGCAGAAGGCTGGAAAACGAGCAGCCCTTGAGCTTGTCTTGGCTGAACTATCTCCTCAGCAAACAGAAAAGAAATGTTGTCCAGACCGGAGCCTGGCTGGCATTTGTGGGGCAAGATGTGGTCAGTCATTCACTCTCTCAGTGTTTGCTGGGCACCTGCCCTGTGGACAGCGGTGAATAACGTGCTGACCTGTGCCCTCACAGGGCCTTTTCGGATTTGCACCCAGTCTGTCCACCGGTGAACAAACACTTGCCTGTTTTGCCGCTGGGTGTGGAATCTGAGGATGTTCCCAAGTGGTGTTTTAGAGCAGTCCCCATGAGGGGGGTGTGTTGCAGGACTCGCTTTGCAGATATCATGGCTACGAATGCCTAGATCAGAAGCTCAGCTCCTGGAGAGGACGTTAACACCTGCGGTTTCCAGGCCTGAGCAGTGTGTAGTGCGAGCAACATCCTGGAGCTGTTGCTGACCAGGTTTGCCACCCCACGTTTTCAGACCTCCAGCAGTGGAAGGCACTCTGTTCGCATCACCGGCCTCAGTACTCTTGATTTCCGAGCTGGCTTTTCCCGACAGCCCACGCTGGACTTCACAAAAACGGCCAGCAGACCAGTGCAAGGTGTGTATGCACATATTATGTAAGTGGCGTAATGTGTATCCAGGCAAAAAGCACTCCCTGGCTTTCGATGTTTTTATAAGTTTGTAGTGTTCCATAGAATCGAGAAACATGGTATCTTTACCTTAAATGGGATCGCCATCTTGGCCTGTTCACGTTTTTCAAAATGTGGTCCCAAAGTCAGTGGTGTCAGAATCCCTCAGGGAGTCTGTTAGAAATTAAGGTTCCTGGGCTCGCCCCAGTGTCATGAGTTAGAACCACAGAAGGTGGGGCCCAGGAATAAGTACTTCAGTGAGCAGCCAGCTAGGCTTGTGCTTCAGATTTTGAGAAGTAGTAGCTAGTTCCTGAGATGTTTTTCTTAAAATCTGTAGATTGCCTGGCAGTGATGGTAAATGCATTTACATGGCTGGACTGTAGATAACAGATCTGCACCCTCAGATGTGAAATCACTGCTGGTGTTTTAAAAAGCTTGTTCTTCCTCATTTTTTATTCCAAACTGAAGATAACATTTATTGTCAGAAGTTGCACAAAGCTTACAGCTTTTAAAAAATGATTTTTGATAGAATTGTATTTGAACAACATCATGATATTTATAGGAACACCACACTGTTGCTGTAGCTTCAGCCAGCATTTGAAGGAAACTCTCAAAATTAAAATGTCTAATGTTTACCCTTCTTTGGAAAGAGGTTCATGTTCCTTTTCATATATTGGGATTTGTAGTCGGAAAGCCAGGGAGAAAGCTCAACCATGCTGTGACTCTCAGCTTTTCTTTCCTGCCAGTTTCTGGAAGGATACAAAACAGTGAATCTTTTAAAATATTTTTGTACTTAAACATCATTAACACATAATTATAATTACAATTTTTCTATGTCTCAACATAGTTACAACACTATAAAAATGCCTAGGATTCCCCAGGTTCCTCTGATCGTGCACAAGCTGTATTTTTATGTAAAGGACTAGTCAATTTGTCCATAGTTAGGGCAGTCTTCAACATTCATCTAACCTGAGAGGTATTTATAATTGGGTGTATAATCTCAGTTGTGGTTCACTGCTGGTGGTAACAGTCTTTCTCTTGCAGGAATACCCACCTACGTACTGCTGAACACTTCTGGACTTTCCATTCCGGCAAGAGTGGATCATCTTGAACTTCTGAGCACATCAGGCAGTTCTCTCAAGGCAATTCCTGTTAAATATTACCCAGATCGAAAGCCATATGGCATATGGAACATTTCTGACTTCATTCCACCCAATGAAGCCTTCTTTCTCAAGGTGACCGGCTATGATAAGGATGACTACCTCTTCCAGAGAGTGTCGAGTGTTTCCTTCTCGAGTATCATTCCAGGTGAGACATCACTACATTCAGCACTGGAGTGTGGACAGCTCAGGCAGCTGCTGTGGTCCTGTGGGGAAGAGGTAGTATCTTCTCACTACTGTGTCACCAAGTTGATGGGTATTTATGCTTAGGTGACCCGGCTATTTCTGAACCATTAAATAGCATATCTAAGATTTCACATTAAGTCTCATGGGTTGTAGGTCTGATTTTGACCACTTCGATCAGTGTTAAAACTTGAACTAAGAAATTCTGGTACCCGCAATCCCCTTAAAAGTCCCAGCACAAGTGTGTGAACTGCATAAAGTAGCTGAATGTTTGTATACAGTTGTTGAAATCTTCCACTTGGTGAGCAGTAGTTCACTGTGAATAACTAGTGATCCTTCTGCCATTGTTCGGTTGGTTAGTTAGTTAATGAGCTGGTTACTTACATGTTAGCTGTGAACTAGAGATGAGATCACAGATGAGAGGTTATTGAGATCGCATTTCCATTTATCTGTACTGGAGCTGTTTTCCCAGACTGATGACTAAAGTCTGACCAAAGCTCTAGACCCATAGCTTAGCCGTGGACTGACAAAGGCACCGAAGCATCGTTCCCAAGATTGTTCTGTTTGGCAGAGAGACAAGATTTCTCATTACTGAAGGTTCAGACAACTCTGTCGCTGTTGTCTAATGGTTGAAGGTGGTGAGAATAGGACCAGCCTCAGAATGTCCTCATGTGTAATGTTCAGAGTTAGTTGTCTTAGCCCTTAAATTGAATGCTACAAATAGACTGGACACTTAAAAATCATTTTTGTGGTAATTCTAAGGTAAATTGTTTCTTTTCACATTTTCCATTATTGAAATAAAAATGCATTCTATGATTGATCATATATTATAACTTGATATCTTTGTGTTTTCCATCTTAATGGTGCAAAAACTACCATTTTTTAAAAGGATTTTATTTATTTGAGAGGTAGAGTTATAGACAGACAGATGGAGAAGCAGAAAGGTCTTCCATCCACTGGTTCACTCCCCAAATGGCCACAATGGCTAGAGCTGGGCCAATCCAAAGTCAGGAGCCAGGAGCTTCTTCTGGGTCTCTCACGTGGCTGCAGGGGCCCAAGCACTTGGGCCATCCTCCACTGCTTTCCCAGGCTCTCTGTCATAGCAGAGAGATGGGTTGGAAGAGGAGCAGCCAGGACTCAAATTGGTGCCTATATGGGATGCCTGCACCACGGGTGGAAGCTTAGTCTGCTATGCCACAGAACCGGCCCCTACCATGTTCTGAAATCAATGGAGTCTCAGATTTAATGGGTGCCATACCGAGGGGCCATGGCGATATCAGAAATGCATCAGCTTTGGAGCAGTGAAGGTAGATAAGTATGTTTGGTGATGTGGGTTTATTGGAATGTGGAGTGTTGCCTGGAAGAGGGTGAGTAGGAAGCTTTGGCTGGAGTGGCAGGAAGGACCCCGCATCATCATTACCTTGCCTGTACTCTTTTGTTCCCTAGATGCTCCCAAAGTTTCAATGCCCAGGAAAACTCCGGGATACTACCTGCAGCCTGGCCAGATTCCCTGCTCTGTTGAGAGTCTTTTGCCGTTTACCTTGAGCTTTGTGAGAGATGGAGTTACTCTCGGCGTAGACCAGTATTTAAAGTATGTAAATGTTTCTAGCAAGTATCATTTGTAACATGAAACCTCTAAATATGAGTAGGTGTTTACTTCAATGCACTTTTTCACTGGAAATTCTTATTTGCTTCATAGTCTTGGAATGTAGCAATAAACAAAGTCGACTCAGATCTGTGCCCTTGTAGCACTTATATTATGATGGGGGGAGGCAGAAAACAGATAATAAATGCAATATGGTAAAATAACAAATGCCAGAACACATTCAAGGGTTGACTTGGGTTTTCCAGAATCTGAATTTTATGTAATTTTAGAGAAACCTAACTATGAATACAGTGTTAGGTACCAAACCTTGAAAGGATATCTTGCAAAGCAGAGATCTTTTTTTTTTTTTTTTTTTTTATTTTTTGACAGGCAGAGTGGACAGTGAGAGAGAGAGACAGAGAGAAAGGTCTTCCTTTGCCGTTGGTTCACCCTCCAATGGCCGCCGCGGCCGGCGCGCTGCGGCCGGCGCACCGCGCTGATCCGATGGCAGGAGCCAGGAGCCAGGTGCTTTTCCTGGTCTCCCATGGGGTGCAGGGCCCAAGCACCTGGGCCATCCTCCACTGCACTCCCGGGCCACAGCAGAGGGCTGGCCTGGAAGAGGGGCAACCGGGACAGAATCCGGTGCCCCAACCGGGACTAGAACCCGGTGTGCCGGCGCCGCTAGGTGGAGGATTAGCCTAGTGAGCCGCGGCGCCGGCCGCAAAGCAGAGATCTTAAAGCCTGAGCTTCATTGGCTTGGGGAAAATGTCTTGGAATCTGATTTAATGTACATGGTAAGTGTTAGGGCAAAAAGGAGAGCAGGTAAACTGGGAAGAACCATCATGGCAGGTGGGGGCATATGATATTTCTTGCCAAGCTTCAAGTTTAAAAATCAGTGTAAAGGATATTTGAGCACAGGCATGAGGATGGCTGTGGAGATGGTCAATCAGATATCCAGGGAGGGGCAGGTGAAAATGCACAAAGGCCAGATGGACCAGGTGCATGGAAAGAAAGGCGGATGGCGGTCAGTGACCCCAGACAGGGGCAGAAGACAAGGCTGGGGGTGTGGTGTATGCTGGAGGTGGGCAGCAGGGGGATGAAACTGGGGGACTGCTGCACACAGCACCAGGAACGGGAGAGGGTGCTGACTTTTCTTGTGAAGTCAGAGGAATTTTTTTTAAGACTTTATTAATCTATTTGAAAGACTGTTGACAGAGAAAGTTTCCAACCACTGGTTCACTCCCCAGATGGCTGCAATGGCCTGGGCTGGGCCAGGAACTCCATCCAGATCTCCCACATGGGAGGCAGGGGCACAAGCACTTGGCCATCTTCCTCTGCTTTCCCAGGTGTATTAGCAGAGAGCTGGATCAGGAGTGGAGCAGCCAGGACTCAAACTGAAGCTCAAGTGAATGTCGGCACTGCAGGCGGCAGCTTAACCTGCCGTGCCACAGTGCCAGCCCCATCAGATGACTTTTTAACATAGATGTGAGTTCAAATGACTTCAGAAAGTTCAAGGGAAAATGAAATGAAAAGATAATTTTAACGCAAAAAATATTGACATTCATGCCTAGTCGTATTTTTTATACCAATTTCCCATGAGCTTTTATAATTTATGTATTTGAGAGAGAGAGAGCGACAGATAACGTCCATCTGCTGGTTCATTCCCCAAATGCCTGCAGTACCCAGAGCTGGTCCAGACCAAAACCTGGAGCTCGGAACTAAATCTAGGTCTACATGAGGTGGCAGGCACCCAGCTTAAGTAGCCATCTCCTGCCGCCTCCCAGGGTGCACAGCAGGAAGCTGGACTCGGAAGTGGAGCCAGGACTTGAACACAGGTGCTCTGTATGGGATGTGGCATCCCAGGGGGCATTATGACTGTTGCACCAAACATTGCCGTTCATGAACTTTCTAAAGTGCCTTTGTAGACAAGGAAGTGATTTCTGGAAAGTGTTGCTTTTTAACTTACTTTAAAATAAACTACATTTTGGGAAAATGTTAGCAACTTTCTGCAAAATATGCCATGAATTCAATATTGACATAACGTCCGCAAGATAATAAAAATTTGGCAGTCTTAGCTTATGCAGCCTCGTTTTGTGCAGTCGTTTTGAACAAAAACTTAGTGCAGGAATGTTCATCATAACTTCAGAAAATTTTCCGTGCTTTCAAAGATCAAACTGTATTATTTACTCCTTACATAATGCTTCTTGATGATTTACTGAGCCACATATTTAATGATTGAGAGTGCAGCCGAGCAGTGCATCAGATGATGGAGCTTCATAGCTGACCGATGAAGTCAGGTCATTCTGTTTCATGTTGAAATCGTAACATTTTCAAAGACACTTAAGATGCTTTATAAACACCAATTCATTAATTCTACACAGTTCCTGGGAGGTAAGCCACAAGAATTCTTGCTCTCATTTTTCCAGCTCTGTGGCCCGGAGATATAACATGCTTTGCTGACATGTGTTAAGCCCCTTGGAAGTGAGAGGCTGGAGACGAAATTAGGCCTTGGCGATGACAGACGGGTCTCTCATCCTGATCCACCCGCAGAGTCCGCCCTAGGTTTCCCGAGAACGTGGAGCATGTGACTTCGTCTGCGTGTATGGCAGTCCCTTTGGTGGCCAGGGGCTGGAAGAGGGTCAGCACGCGTTAGCCGCGGGGCACATTTCTATGTGACGTGTGCTCTTCTCTCTTCCAGAGTCCGTCCCGTCCAAACCTTTTCATGTATAGTGCATAGTACTACGTAGCTGAGAAGGCTACATAAAAGGACAGTTGTTTCCACATAACTTTTCATAAATGAGAGGAACAAGAGTAATAGTAAGGAATATTCTTCGAGCAATTAGCAAACTTGTTAATGTGCCTGTGAACAATTATTAGTCCTTTCTGGAATTCAGCTTTCATTTTTAAAATGAAAGATTGGGGGATTAGCAAAACTGTCACTTTCTAAAATGTCTAAGTTTGATTTTTTTTTTTTTTAATTTTGAGAGGAGGATAGAGAAAGAGAGGTCTCCCATTGACTGATTCACAACCCAAACGCCCACAGTGGTGCTCAGTTGGGGCTGAAGCTAGAAGCAGGCAACTCAGTCTAGGTCTCCCACAGGGGCTGCAGGGGCCCAGTCACTTGGGCCATCACCACTGCTCTCCAGAACTTGAAGACTGGAGCCAGAGCCAGACAGCACACCCGGGCTCTTGGACGTGGGACATGGTGTCTCAAGTGGCATCTCAACCACAGGGCCACATGCCTGCCCTCCAAGTCTGAGTTTTTTGATGAACTCTAATATATGTAAGAGTACTTCAAAACATTGTAGAAAATGGAATTAAAAGGTAACTGTAGTTGGTTGCAAAAAATTTTTGAAATACATGCATATGAGAGCTCTTTAAAAAAGTTAGGAAATACGTATTATGAACATTTTTTGATATTTCAGCTAATTATTGCTAAGTTCTTTGCAGTTGCCCGAGTATTAACATAGCCGTGGAAATAAGACATTTGCTGACCAGTTTGCATTTATGTGATCATCTTTATGATGATTTTATCATTGTCTCCCACTGGATTGTGGACTCAAATCTAAACATGCATTTCAAAATTTAAGCTTGTCTTAATTCCATTTTCCATAAGATTTTTGAATCTAAAGTAGCCTTCACAGTGACCACTGCAGACAACTGTCTTCCCAGACCTCGAGCCACTAGGCCATGGGATTCACAGACGTGTGTCTTGCATAATGCTACTGCTGATTCACAGTCAGCTTACGTGATCAGCACAGTGTAGAATCGAGTGCTGCTCCCCTTTCTCTGAGAGTGACAGCAGGGCCACTCCCTGGGCACGGAACTGCAAGGAAACCTTCACTGAAGGGAGCAGTCTCAGCTACTAAAGTACATGGAACAAGAGCCTTGTCTGGTTTCTCACTGTCCTGATGACAGGAGCCCAGGCCTTGCCTTCTGCTCACAAACCCTACATCAGTCCCAAGAAGGAATAAAGGGCTTAGTAATTCCTGGGTGGTGGTTTGGTGCTGAGTGTGGTGTTTGGGAAGTGATGGGGGTTCACTGTTGGGTGTATATCTTCAGCCGCTCTGACTCAGTGGGGTGTGTGACTCGCCAGTGGGTTTCTCACCTTGCTACATTTTGAATCTTTTACAAGGTTATGAATAACTTCAGGTGATGGAAGAGAACAGTTATGATAGTGTGACTTCTGAGTTGGATTTTGAAACACAATGCCTATTTTTGTAGGTTATTAAGACTATTTAAAATGAGAATTACATATTTCTAAGACATTTTCAGGAAATGAGAATTTTCTTGAACACTGTTAGGGAACACAGAATATTTATTATTTGCATTAGACTGACTATAAAAGTGCTATTTTTTTCCTGTGGTATGTGCAGATTGAACTATATGGAGTTCATAGCTCCATGTGGAGCTTGTGTTCACTTGTATGGCTGACAGTTAAGAGGAATTTATCTTTTTCAAACCAAAAAGTCAGTCTCTTACTTTCAAATATGCAAATTACCTGGTTCGGTTGTGTTGGCCAACATCCCCTGCAACACGACAAAAACCTGGAGGAGACAGGGAACGAGAAAGAGTTTAATAATTATTTCTTTATCAGCTCTGTTATCTCATATGAGGGAGTTTTAAAAATTCATGGAAAATTCATATTATCTTGGAATCTCATTTTCTGTGACTTCTTTTTGAAGGCCCTTTGTGTTTTGACACAGCGAGAAAATACTTTCCTAAATTTGCAGTCTTCATGGTTTGTCATCTTTGTTGCCTCTTTTTTCGGAGGAGATAGACTAGTGTAACCTGCTGGTTCAGATACGAAAGGTGTAATGTTAAGTTGCCAGGAGCTCTGCAGTGCTGGTCCCTTCTTTTCTTGACATCGTTCTTAGAAGTGAATCCTTGAGGAGAAACACGGGAGCAGTGCTCTCAAGTTGGCCTCGTCTTTTTAGTAACTGACAAGGTTCCCATCTCCTTACCCGCAGAGAATCCACCACCGTGACCTGGGATATCGACAGAGTCACCTTGTCTGACGAAGGCGCCTATGGGTGCATCGCAGTCAGCAGCGCAGGGACTGGACGAGCACAGACATTTTTTGACGTATCAGGTAATCATCGCCAAGTTCTTTGCAGTTGCCTGAGTGTTCACACAGCTGTGGATGGGAGCTCTTTGCCGACCAGTTTGCATTTACGTGATCATCTTTATGATGATTTTATCATCGTCTGTCTCCACTGGATGGTGGACCCAATCCTGGCTTCTGCACGTACATTAGCTGTGTGGCCTTCCTTGGACCACTCATTTAGGGATCCAGCATCTTGGTTTCCCGCACTATCAAAGGCGGATGCTGCCAGTCACAGTCTCTCAGTCCTGGAGACTCTGAGGACTGAGTGATACTTGTAGTTTGTCAAGCGCCTGGAAGAGAGCCTGGCCCGCGGAAGCACTTGGTGGACGTGAGTTACTACTGTTGTTGTTATCACTGACGTGGCTGGAGGAGCTGAGTGTTCTGTGAACTGGCCGTGTGTCATGTAACTCTGAGAAAGTCACGTGTAAGAAGTGATTTCTTCTGATAACCACAGTGTTGGACTTTCCCTTCCCTCTTCCGTATTCATAATGAACCGAGCTCTGCCTTGGAGGGATTCTGATGCCTAAATTGAAGGCGACAGCGGAAGCCATCCCGTCCTGGGCACGCAAGGCCTCAGAGGCTGCAGGACTGGTTCTAAGAAGGGCACAATGATGCTAATTATTTCACATTCAGAAAGTGTTTTTCCTACGAATGGGGGTGGGTCAAGGTTCGTATTATTTTATAAGATGAAGTACTTTTTTATACTATTTTATAAGGTGAAGTAGTTTTTTTCCTCCCAGAATTCTTAGGCAAAAAAGAAGATACTTCGTCAGTGACCAGGATTAAGCCGCTTAACTCAGCACGTATTTATAATTTGTCAGCTAATTCATTTTGAACAGATTATTTTCGACCTGCCTGTGGCCGCTGTTGCTGTGTTTAGTAGCAGCCTACCCTGACCTGAGCTGCACTGCTGCTGAATCGACGGCAGCATCTCTCTTTGCTTTTCGTATTGATGTGCCTTTTCTCGAGGCAAATTTAAGGCAAGAGCAACTTTTGATGAGAGCACAGTTCAAAAGGCCAGGGTTTGTTTTGTGTGTTAACCGTCAGTCCAAGCTGAATTTAAAGCAGGCCTGTTAAGCCAGGCGAGCGTGTTGTTCTTGCAGTAGAACTATTTGTATGCTCTTATTCTCAGGAAAATAAAACTTGCCTTCTGAAACAGTTTAGCAAGTTGACATGCATCGCACAACTTTCATTGTTTCATCTTCAGTAATTAGGAAAAGCACTGGCGTTCTCTCAGCATTCCTCACACACATTCAGGCACTTGCATGTTTTCCCAGCAGTGTTAATGAGGAGAAGGACCGCAGGGAAGGAGGCCCAGCGAGCTGATTCAGACGCCCTGCAGAACTACAGGGGAGCGACTGCCCTGCATCTGGCTCCGTGTGCCAGCAGCTTCTGTCTGCCTGTTCTCCACATGCCATACTGTGCCAGGCAGCCTGGGCTGGCCCGCGGTGCTCTCTGCAGGACGTGGTACCCCGCCCAAGCCTGCTTGTGGGAATGCTTTCCCTTGGTTCAGGGAAGAAGGAGAAGGGGCAGAGCGTTCATGGTGATGGAAATGACCGTGGCAATAGACGCCTTTCCTTTGGGGTTCGCTGTTGCCCGGCATCAGCCTTCAGTCCCGCCTTGTACCTGTTCACCAGCCGACAGGGGTCAGGGGTCAGGTTTGAATTCACAGTCAGGTCTCAGCTGTGGCAAACAGGGCCTTGGGGGAGAGTGGTATTCTTGTGTCACTGTGGGCGTTGCTTTATTTCACGAAGTTGGAGAGCTCCTGAGAGCAGTTTAAAACACAGCTAAAGTTCTACCAATATGATGGTACCTCGGGGTTTTGTTTTTTTTTCCCCCAGAACTTTCTTCCAGTGGACACATGTAAGGATTTTCAGTTTATTCGAGCTGTTGGCTATTGATGGTTTTTAATGCAACATGGTGGTTGAAGGCCCTGTGCCTCTCTTCCTGCTAAGTGTTAATACACAGAACCTGATGAATAAATTACAGACACTTGAAAAACTCACTCTATTCAATTGAAATTTAGTAGTTTAGCTCAACGCTATTACAAATTTTTATTGATTTTTTTCTGCCAAATTTCTGTATGAACAGTGTTCCTTACCCAAAACATATACATTCTTAAAATTCTAGGCTTGCGCAAAATCCTAAATGTAGAAAACTCATTAAAGGCACGTCAGTGGTTGTGGGATATTCTTTTAGAACACAATGAGACTTGGAAGTGGCCATGCACCACGTTGTCATTTTTTAGTTAAAGCAACAGAAGCCCGTCACAAGCAAGGGAGCCATGTATGGTCGGGTGGGTAGCAGCTAACTAGCTTCCTGGCCCCGTGGCTCCTTGTCCAGGGACCCTTCCGTACCGCCACAGGCCTCTGCTTGTCATACCTGCTCCCTAACCTGGCCTCACTCATGCTGTCACCCAGGAATGGCTGCCCCCTACAGTCCCAGGATGAGGCTGTTGCTGGCGTTCTTGGCTTCCTTTACAAATGGCTGTAATTCTCCCTCTTTGTGCCCCATCCCCACCAGATTTATTCACAGATGCATAAATACCGCAGTGTGTGTGATAGTCACTGCCTCCGGTGTTTATGCACTGGTGGTATTATATGTCGCCATTTCAAATCTCATCTGCCTGTGTATGTTTTTAGAAAGTGGGTATTTATTTTATTTTATATTTGAAGATGAAGTTACTCAGAGGTTGCATGCTAGAGAGGTCCCATGGGGTTCTCTGGGGGCAAGCAGTGAATAGGGGAAGGGAGGGGAGGGCAGTGCAAGGACTTGGCCGTGGTGCAGCTGCAGCCAGACCCCAGCTGTTCCTCTGAAGGCTGTGGAGCTGAGGCTGTCTGCATGGGAGCAGGAGGGCCGGGCCTTTGTCGTCCGTTCGATGGTCCTTGGGCCAGGGCTGCACAGAGGAGGCCCAGCCCTCAGCAGGTTAGCTTCGAGGGGCCACAGAGCTGCTCAGATTAGAAAACAGGCTTAGCTGAAGTCACACAGCTAGGCTGATGTAGAACTGTGCAGCTTAGGATTGCCGGATTGGCAAACAAGAACACTGATGCCCAGTGAAATCTGAATTTCATGTATATTGCATGAGACAAATGTATACCAAAATATCAACTTGATATGTGTCTGAAGTTCAAATTTAACGAAGTGTGCTGTATTCTGTGTGTCACGCTAGCCAGACTCCAGCCCAAGCCCTCTAACCTTGTCATGCTCTCTGTCCACTGCATTCATCAGAAGTTTTCAGGAGATTGTAAAATGGCACAGTGTTAAAAGCAACTATTTTTTTATAACTTAAAGCAATGTATACTCTGTAGAAAAAGCTTGAAAAACAGGGTAAATGTAGCAGAAAATAGGGAAATACATTTCTGTCCCTCAGAACGAGCCTGGTTTTGGCGGTGCTTCCCGTCTTTAAGCCAGCCCATGTTCATCTGTCTTGATGTGCAGTTGTAGACAGCACAAGGAGAAGTTGGATCTTGCCTACCTGACACACGTTGACACTCAGTGTAAAGCATGCACGGTCTCCAGCTGGCGGAGCCCGCCTTCGCGTGTGTTGCTGTGTCATTGAAATGTATTGCGACAGGAGACCATTTTAGAGCATTTAGCACATTCATCGCTTAACTAACCAAGCAGCATGCGGTTCTCTCCAGAATGCTGGTTAAACATCTAATTAGCAGCTGGTTCTCAAACAAATCTAAAACATGCATGCAGTGTTCAGCACCTTCTGTGTACGTGGCTCTATGTGCATGGTTTTATTAAAGTTCTACCCCTGCTGTTTGCTTGACAGTCTCGCAGCGATGTGTTCTCGTGTCTGTCTCAGTCTACGGTTGTGCCGCGTCTTCTCCCTAAGACACTAACTCCCACTAAAGTCGGTGTCGTCACGTTGGCCATGGCTGCCACTCTTTATTTTAAAGAAAAAAACACTTTATTTATTTTAAAGAAAAAGGCTTGCTTTTGCCTTTTATGCTGATGTCTATAGTGGACAGGTTTGGAATTTCATATACTTTGGTTTGTAAATGTGTACAACTTTTTCAAGTGTTTTTGGTTTTTTAAAATTTTTTTTGAAAGGGGTGAAGGGAGGTATTCCATCTGTTTTTTCAAGGACATGGCCGCAGTGGCCAATGCTGGGCCAGGCAAAAGCCAAGAGCTTCATCTGGGTCTCCCACATGGGCATCAGGGCCCCAAACACTTGGGTCATCTTCTACTGCTTTTCCCAGGCCATTAGCAGGGAGCTGGATTAGAAGTAGAGCAGCTGGGACTCGAACCCGTGCTCCTATGCCCACTTCGCAGGTGGCAGCTTTACCTGATGCTCCACAACACCAGCCCCAGAGTGTGTGTTTTTATTATTTGAGAGTCAGAGTTACACAGAGAAGGAGAAGGAGAGGGGAGAGGGGAGACGGGAGAGGGGAGAGGGGAGAGGGGTCTTCCATCCACTGGTTCACTCCCCATTTGGCTGTGATGGCCAGAGCTGGGCCTATCCAGAGCCAAGAGCCAGTCTCCTATGAGGGTGCAGGGACCCAAGGACGTGGGCCATGTTCTGCCTTCCCAGACCATAGCAGGGAACTGGATTGGAAGTGGAACAGCCAGGACTTGAACCAGCACCCATATGGGACGCCGACACTGCAGGCAGCAGCTTTATCCACTACGCCACAGCGCTGGCCCCAGAGTGTGTTTTAATCAGATCCTTCGGGGCGGTCGTAGGCACTGTATTAGTCAGTTCTGCTGTACTGCACCCTTCCTGCTAGGCACTGAATACAAGCTCATGTGGTTTGTTAACCGCATCTGTGAGTGAGCAGAACGGCTCTCACGTCTCCTGATCTGAACCTTTTGATTTCACAGAGCCCCCGCCAGTCATCCACGTGCCCGCTAACGTCACAGCCGCTCCTGGAGAGAGAGCAGTTCTGACGTGTCTCGTCAGCAGTGTGGCGGATTTCAACCTAACCTGGCAGAGGAATGGCCGAGATGCCAGGCTGGCAGAGCCAGCCCGAGCCAGCACCTTGGCTAACCTCTCGCTGGAGCTGGCGGGTGTGAAATTCAGCGATGCTGGCGAGTACCACTGCACAGCTTCCAGCGCCGGTGGATCAGCCGCTGCTTCAGTTGTCCTCACGGTGCAAGGTACTGTGCTTACGGCAACTTCTGAACCATAATTCTTCCTGCGTTCGCAGGCTGGCCATCTGAGAGAGACAGTCCCCACCCAGACCGTGACATGGAATGACAGCATGCCGCTGCCTAAGCCAGAAACTAAAATGTTACTAATGGCAACTTTATCACAGTCACGGCTCATCCTACCAGTGGAAGAGGTCAATTTTAAGAGAAAATAAACAGTGTCTCTGGTGATGTAATAGCTTAAAATTCTCCAGACTAGCATATAGCTTTAAAAAGAACCACTATACCTGTTTTACTAATTGATGAAAAGCCCCCTTAATTTAATCACTATATTTGCATAGTGGCTGATTGACTTTAAACTTTTAACTTTAATAATTTTTGCTAATATTTTAAAAAGTTTAAAATACTTCTCATCTCAATGAAATTTTATTGAAACTTAGAGTTGTTCTACCTTATTTCTTAAAAAGCTATATATTGAAAATAAGCTAATGATAAGGTGGTCTTGAATTATCTCTTCCTAGACTAAATGTGCAGATAGCTGAAAGCAAATAATATTAGTTGTGTGGTTCAGTAGCTATTGATTACACACACACACACACACACACACACACGTGTGCTTGTGGAAATGGGATGGAAAGGTAGGTTTATTTTTGAAATCCATGCATGGTTTTTCAAAATATACATTTTCCACGATATATTTTGAAGACCCCCTGTATGGATTTCTTTTTCCCACTAACATAAGCATGCTTTAATTCCATTTTCCATGAACTTTTTGAAGTTCTGTCATTTATGAGAAGCTTTCCAAAAGCTCATGGGAAATATGTGTTATGGAAAAATGATGAATTTAAAAATTTTTGTATCAAAGTGAATTTTAATTCCACATCCTGCAGACTTTGTGGAGTGCCCTTGTACAATTCGGGGTCAGCGAATGAAGGCTTTCTGGTAAGTGTCTGTAGACCAGCTGCCAGTCTTAATGGAGTGGACAGTTCCTGTTGGCAGTGCCCGCTGCTGGCTGGCAGGTGTGGATGCTGCCTCCGCAGCGTATTTGATTTCAGAGCCCCACCTCAGAACTGGATCTGGTTAGTTGGTGATGATATGAGAGACCGTGTTACACCATGGCTGCAGTGATACGCTCAGATAATTTTTTTCTTTTAGCAAAGTTATCCCAGAGAGTGCCCACTGAGTTTCCAGGGTGGCTCTTAGAATGTTTCTACTGAGAGAAAATTGAAGCCACTGTGCAAATTAACAAAATCGTTGCTGTCTGATGATGGTTTTCTGCCTGGCAGTCAAGATCTGTGCTCTCCGTAATCTGAAGGTGTGTCTTTGTTAATTGAGCTGGTGAGAGCTCTCGGAGGTTCTGCGCTTGTAAATGGTTCACTCCTTTTGCACGTGGTCAACCGTCTCGGTCATTTGCTGCAATCCAGCTGGCAACTTGGGCCACGAGCCCTCTGGAGCCATTTTTACCAATTTAGTCGTTTCGGATACATGCTGAAGGACTTCTGGAATTTAATGTAGGTGCCTTACTGGAAGTCCCTTAAAATGGGATTGTAAAATAAAATTGGAGCTTTCCTTGTTTCCCCAAGTTAACATTTTAGTTCATCCATTTTCTATTCCGTGCATGAGAGCCAAGATTCCCACACTCTCATGGTAAAGAATTATCCAAGGAGTTTGTTTTCCATAAAGCAGACTTCTAAACCCACATGCAGAGGTTCTGTTTCCATGTGGCTGACGCGGGGCCTGGGAATCTGCATTCAGCGGACTTCTCTGTCCCACAGACATTTCCTGAAGACAGCGTGTGACTCTGTTCTGAAGATGTGTGTAACGTAGGGGAGCCCTTGGCCGTCGTCTTGCTGGTGAAGTAGAGCCGTTACTATCCAGTGATTTCAGAAAGGGCCGAGGTTCGACGTTTGTCTTAGTCTGCCTCCTGTTGCTGTTAGCAGAACCTCAGAGGTGGGGGAATCTGTAAAGGAAACAGGTTTCTTTGGGTTCATGGCTCTGGAGGCTGCGAGTGTGAGAGCACGAGGCTGGCGCCTGCTGCAGTTCTGCCCTCAGGAAGGCAGAGGACAGTGTCCCGTGCTGGGAGACACAGCACAAGGGACAGCCTCGCTTCCTAACAACCCGCTGCAGCAGTCGCTAGTCCAGCCCAGCAGGAGCTCACTCCGCAGCCAGGAAGGGGTGAATCCCTTTCAGTGACCCAATCACCTCTTAAGGCCTTCCCTCTCAGTGCCACCACAGTGGCCATCAGCCTTCAGCATGATTTCACAAAGGACAAACCGTACTCAGAGCCTAGCAATGCTATGGGATGCATAAGAGAGAAATACAGAAAAGCGTGACTGCACGTGGCTACTCGGAGCGTGTGAGATCTCTAGTCGAGTAGATGCGCAGAGACCTTCTGACATAACCTGTCCAGGTGACCTTGTTGGGAAAGGGTGCTTTAAATCTAGAATGAAAGGTATATCCTAGGCTTGATGACAGTATGCAGTGAAAAGTAAGCATTGTTGTGTTATTGACAGATGTGTCAATCTGAATGCATTATTCTATGGTTGAATGCACTATCGAACACTGTGGGTACTGAGGAAGTTGCTGTACCTAGAGGCTCACAGTGACTCGGGTGCTTGCTTTTAGACTACTGACATCACATCTTAAGTCACAAATTAATTTCGTTTTTATACAGTTAGCTGCCTTTAAAAGCAGGCATAAAGAATTCTCTAGAAAACTTACAAGATAAATAATGACTTGGATGCTCCATTGAGAAGGAGTCTGCCTGGTTAAAGGGAGGTCAGTAGCCCAGTTCGTAGCCTCATCTGTGCTGCTGTGTCGCTCCCCCTCTTCGTGGAGGAACGACACAGGACCCTGCGCTGTTCTTTGGTCTGCTCGGCCCTCCCCGGGTTTGCTGCTGGTTCTTCCCGGGTTGGCTACCGTCCCTTCCACCTCCGTGGAAGGGCGGTTCCCCCTGCCACATTCCCCACTTCCGCGGGGGAGCAGCACACCGCCGGCCGGCTCTCTCGGGGGGCTGCACAGGTGTTCCCCTTAGATGTTCCCCTTAGATGTTCCTGGTGCATGTTGTCTCTCTCCTCCTTTATAGTCCTCCTCCGCCAATCCTAACTCTGCTACCCACATGCCGAGCACGCTGCTCTCCTGCAATCAGGAGCAGGATCAGCTCCTGGATGTCATCACTCAAGTTGGCAAGAGGCAGCTGCGTAGAAGCTGTTTTCTCCTCCCCAGCACCATATTGTGGGAGAGCAGATGCATAGAATAAGTCTTAATTCCAGTAACTTAGTCTAGTCCGGGTTGCTCCCCACACTGCTGTTCCTCCCTGGGTGTGTCTGGAAACTTTCTCTCTGGTACACTTGTTAGTGTTAAAAATTCATGTTTTATAAGCTTTTTGTGGTAGTTTTGCAAAATAGAATGTGCAAGAATTTTCTGGTCTTAAATAGCATGTGTATAATATTGTACCTTATCCTCACCTGACAGTAAAATATCTATAAAGACTTCAACAAAACAAAACTGAATAATACTAAACACTAGTAGAAATTAATAACGGTACATTTGGTAGTAATTATATATATATATATAAGGATCTTATTTGAATACAATATAAATATTTATAGTCCAAGACCAATGGAATGGAAGTCTTAACTGTGGTCTTTCTGTTCACACGGAAGCAGGAAGTGTCTTTGTCCTGCTGTTTTGGTTTGCTCTAGGAAGAAAAAGCTACTCTTTGAGGAAGCTATAATTTTATTTTCTTGTACCATTAGTAGCTCCAACTGTCCAGTTAGAAAAATAAGACAGAAAATGGACAATGTAATCTGGTCCCAGGTAGGAAATTGCAACCTAGGGTGTGTGTAACCCAGGATATGTGTTTCTACAAATGAAAAGAAATGCTGATGGGAGAGTCTATGAGGGAGTGTGGAGACAAAAGGAGCAGAGTGGAGCATCAGGGCTCAGCTCCAAGAGCTTTGTGAGAGTGAGGCGAGAAGCCGCGCACTCAGCTCGAATAGAAGTGGCACCTGCAGCCAGGTGCGTGCAGACTGCTTGGGGACCCTGAGTCTGGAGGGTGCCACCCCGTTTACAGCGAATAAACGGAAAATGACCAACACAAACGAAGAGGGGAAGTAAAGCATAAGATCTGAGAGAGAATCCTGCGGAACAAAGGGTCGCAGGGGGACAAGGAGCAAGGGTAGGCAGGGGAGACTTGAAGACGTGCATGCTTTGAAAGCAATTTATTCTGGAGACCGAAAACGAAATGGCTTCACCAGCGTCTTTCTGAAAGACTGAATGTCTTTTAATCAGAAGTGTGCGTTTATACGGCAAGAACCAGCGACGACGAAGGACGGTAGCGAGTGTGGTGGGAGGAATAAGGGCAGTGGGTGGGCAGCACCATGGGCAGTGGGTGAAATCACTGCCTTCCACGCCAGGTGTCCATCCTGCAGGGCCAGTTTGAGTCCTGGCTGCTCCGCTTCTGATCCACTCCCTGCCAGTGTGCCTGGGGAAGCCATGGATGATGGCCCAAATAAGTGGGCCCTTATACCCATATGGGAGATGGGGACGGGGTTCCTGGACCCTGCCTTCAGTCTGGCCCAGACCTGGCTGTTGTGGCCATTTGGGGAGTGAAACAACTGGTGAAAGATCTCTTCCTCTCTTGGTCTCTCCCTCCCTCTTCACTCCCTCCCTTGTTCTTCTGTCTTTCCAATAAATAGATAAATAAATCTTTAAAGCAAAAAAAAAAAAAAAAAAAGGATATGGAGTTTAAAACACAGCCTTCTAGTGCAAGTCTGAATTAGAGGCACTAAAAAGCAGAATTTATACTGCATCAACGTAAAACCAGAGATGTGGTTCCTAGACTTGAGAAGTCCTTCCGAATCCCAGGGTAAAGAGTGAATAGCTGAATGATATGATTCTCTTAAAAGTGCTAATTAAGAGCAGAAGATGGAACTATAAGATTTATAGATGTTTAAGAAACGAAGAGACCTAAAGTAGACAAGTGGTCAGAGATATAATGGAAGAAA